ATCCCATCCTAAAGTAGACATCTAAAATAAGTCAGATTAATTGTGCCCTAGAAATGCCTGTCTCCTGCATTGTCTATAAAGAGTGCTTTAGACCAGCTAGGTCAGAGATGGGCCTGAACATCTCAGTGAGATTAATTCTGTCCAGACTGTAAGGTGTTGGGACAACGACTATCTCATCATGCTCATTAATGTCTCCTTAGGTTGTGTGTAAGCCAGTCTGTGCTGTTTTATATGTAGTAATTGTGCATTGACTGAAAACCAACTTAAGGACTGTGAGCAAAGACAAATACTGAAGTGTATCACATGGAAATTCTTCACCCTACAGGCTATCAAACAATTTGGTTTTCGTTCATACTGATGCTGATGATCACAGAGGAGTGCCGAGATACGAAACAAACTTGCAGATGATACTGAATCAGGCAGTGATGTGAAAATCAGGACGAAAGAAATAAGTAGATAGGCATGTACTCTGTGGGCAATATAGGGAAAGGAAGTAAACTTGGAAACTACAGGTTAATACGTGTGGGAGGAAATGCAAAGAGATTCAGCCACAGAAGAGAAGCCTGGGAAGCAGGCTTATTCTGCATAAGGAATAATAAGCATTCCTTATTCTGCAGGAATACAGAAAGAGATGTGTACAGATGACTAATGGGATAACAAATAAGAAGCAAGGTAGGACTTCGCAAGCAAAACTGGCAAGCAAAACAGGTTAACGGAAGGTGAAGTCAGTAAGCGGTCAGGTGCATAACTCTTCTTTACCTTTGTGACTGCATCCAAAACATAAAAGTTCAAATGTAATGTAAAAAATATCTTGGGGCTCATGGAAGCGCCAAAAAGCTATTGGTAATTTCAAAAAAATTGTAAGCTCACTGAAGGTAACTGGGGGAGAGAAGGGAAGATGGGGGAACTGAGTTGTGAGGTAGATGAAAATATAGACAGCTTGGCACACTTATACCTGCTGGATACAGATGTCAGTAACTCACTGCAATGTTAACACCACGCAAAGAGAGAAACTGAGATAGAGTGGTACTAAAATACATGGGCTGGAACGTGAGACCCGTAGCCCAGGGAGCTCTGTTGGCAGCCCTGGTTTAGGTACTTAAGGAAAACAAGGCAGACATAGCATTAGAAAGTAAAGAGAATAAAAAATGAATATATCCTAGTACACAGACTAGTGTAAATGTCCCCATGGTTTAAACTGCTGTTCTTTTAAAAATGGTTGATTCATGTTTTTTGTGAACTTAGATTTCAGTAACAGCTCTACAATACTGGGGCTGTCCCCTGTGGAGGGAGGTTCACATCCTCTAAGACATGGGACAGAACTGAACCCATTTATTCCCTATTTTAGGGAGGACTCTTATTAATACAATGAAAACAGCTTCTTTTCCAAAATGAGCTTTTTCTTTTTTTTCCCCTTCCGTCTTTAACATAGTGCTATCCCACCTTCTGTTCTTGAACGAAACAGCATGAGCAGATCATTCCAAGGGAGAATTTGGGGGCTGTGACAGCTAAGTGGAGGGACCTACCTCCTCGGGTTCATGTAGATTGAGTGCGTAATCCTGCATGCCCTGGGATCTCGGCCATAGGTGGTTGGGATGGGAGTGCCGGTTGTACTGCACCATTGGTCCCTTTGGCTGGGGGTCTGTGGAGTTAGAGGTGCTAAAAGAGAAAAAGTCTGGCACTGACCGCTGTTACTCCCCAGAGCAGGGTTTGGGCATTTGACATGTGCACCAGATCTGTAAGTCTCAGGAGTGCTCCCATTTCCACCAGGACAGATAAGCCTCTGTAGCCCAGGGACGCCTCTGTATGTGGTAATCTCTACTCGTTGTCTTAGCTCATCTTTCAGTTTGTTGACTCTAGACTCTAGACTTCGACACAAAGATGTGCTGTAGATTAGCTGTTACCACTCAGAAACTAGCCTGTCGAGTCACTGTCTTTCCTCCCTCAAAACATCATTGTCCAGCATGAGCAAAAACTTGAACGGACTGTCAGAAATTATGGTTATTTATGAGCAACCTGATCTGAAATCCCAAGACATGGACTGGATGGAACAAGGCAGGAAAGGCAAGGAGCTAAACTAGATAGCCCAGCATGCCTTTTAGATTGGTTCTGGAGGACACTGATCCACAGATCACTAAGAACTAAAACTCTACCACTTCTAAGTGCTCCATTAACTAATTTCCAGGAAGGTCAATGATACTGCTTAAAATTTTGTCATTATTGAACCATACCTCCAGTGATGTGGCCATCTTTAGTGTTATTAAATAAATGGTAAGAGTCTCCCAAGTTTTGTTCTTGGCAGTTTTCCTATCCCACAAATGGCAAATTCCTTTATTAATTTTAAGGTTAGCTGGGTAATGCGGCAGTGAAATGAAACACGCTCTGGTTAAGGCTTGTACCTTCCATCAGAGCCAATTTTCCTAAGACATTGGTGGTACAGCTTCTGAAACTGGCTCCAGGCTTGGCTCTGGGTGCAGGAGAGAAGCCATTTTACTGTCTGTTTCTGGACGTGGTTCGTTATTGCACACGTTTCAACCGTCCGTCCTCCGATTCAGCTGGATAACGGTTACCTTGGAGTGGCAGGTGGGCTCTCCATCAGTGGAGGAAGGAGGTTGGCAGTGGAAAAGCTGACGAAAGCATTTGTAAAACTGAAACAACAAACAGACAATTCTAGACATAGTTGCTAGGCAGGCTACAATTCAGAACATCTCTGTAACAGCTTGGGGGCAAGGAAACATGGTTTATTAAGCTCGTACTTTTTGCTCCAATAGGGATTAAATATTTTTTCACCGTGAATCCGTGTTTCTTCCTGCATAAGACTAAAGTTCACTTAAATTTGTGGACTTTTCCTTTGAAATTGATATGCTTAGCTTTTCTGAGACCATAGACTCTGTAGAGTGTAAAGCTGTAGAACAATCTAAAACACTTTCAGAACCTTTCATTAATGATAACAGAAGATTTAATCACAGAAGTAATTGTTTTTCAGTTACTTCACACATCAGGCACGGAAAAATCATTTTGATAATCTAATGATACGTAGCAAGGAGAACATAAGATTCTTTTCATTAGCATGCCATTGAAATCTCTGTGTTCCCAAACTGCAAACTAAACTTCAGAAAATGGCTTTGCTTAATTAACAAACCAAAATATTTTTTTATGTTGATTCATGTCACTTGTGAGAAGTATCCAAAACACCTTTGATGCTTTATGATTCCAAAGCTGTTGTACAGAAAAAACCAATTACATCAGTTCTCATTTGTAAGTGCAAAGTGAGTAGAATTAGTACAGCTGTCTCCTTTGAGAGTTGACAGTCATATTCAATGCACGGGGGTACCAGTAGTGCAACAAGTGCTTCAATACATTTTCTATATATTTTTATTTTTTAAATGAAACCTTAAAAAAAAAATGGTGTCCAATGCTTACTCCATCATTTTCCTTTCATATGGCTATGGGAAACAGAAAAGGATCCCAGAAGCTGTGATTGATGTGAAAGTCAGTATCTGATACTAGTCCCTTTGAAAATGTGCAGCCGCAACAGCAAGTTTTCTCTCGTTTCAAAGCTATAAAGACCTTCTGTTAGTATGGATTTACAATTGTGCCATAGGAAAACAAAGTCTGCATAAGCCCACCTATCTTCCTTCTGAATCTGTCCTGTTCTATTTTTGATCTTGAGCATGGGATAAGGAGAGTAACAGCATCTTAGGGCTGCGCCTAAGGTCAAAGCGAACCTTTACCTGGCTTTAAACAGGAAATTAATTTCCATATGGTCTTTCTTAGCCACTATTGACAGAGCTGATGACAGTCTGTCGTTGACATGTGGCAGGAAAAAATGGGTTGGCACGTTACGGATTGCTCCTTGCTGAGTAGGAAGTGGTCAGGGGCTTTTCCTCCTGACAGCGCTGCTCTAAGAAGGAATTCACCTTCCTCAGCCTCTCTCGGTGAGACTCTTCACAAAATTCTTAGAAGCTGTGGCCTTTTATGCTACCACTACATGGCTGATGTCCTTCTGGATGTATTTAGACTGCCTTCTTGGTAATGTCTTCCTGCCTGGAGAGAAGCAAGTGGATGGAAAAAGTGGAATTGGTTCAATTCTAGACTAAGAAAGACCAACATTGTAATAAGGTGGAGATGTTTCAAGGAGTACATTGATACCTTAATATTGCCAATGATCTGAATGAGCCATCCAAAAGTTGTCAAAGGAAGAAACATGGGTGATACTGGGCCATCTTTCTATTCTTGTTTCCCCTTGCCATGGTGTACAAAAAATGAAAGGGAAATGATTCAGATTCTTCATAGCCTTGAAGATTAGTATGTATGTAAATATTTGCAAGACACAGATATCCAAAAGCACAGAGGAGAACAGAATGGGCATACCTGGAATTTTTTTATATCTGCTGTACGTGTCAGGTCAGAGTTTAGCTGTGGAAGTGGTAGAAGTACCAAGAAGAGCTCTGTAAAAACACCAGACAACTGCTCTGTGTGTATATGTGTGTTCTGTATTCTGCAAGTGAATGTAAAGACCTGGTCTGTCTTGCTAAATAGCTTCAAGAATTGATAATATACACGAAAACCAAGAAAAGTGATCGGTTGACTCAAAAAAATTAGCATGCAGCTGTATTAGGTCCCCGATTCTTGTGTGGGATGTTTTGTGGACAGGATAGGGTAAATGAGGGGAGGTGGGAGAGAGCAGCCTTCTCGCTCAAGGAGGCTGACGGTGGTGTGCAAGCCCTTTATAGGCTTTTTACTCTTTCCTTACAATTGTTGTTCTACCCCATCGACTCTACAGGGATCGCAATCTTTATGTATCAGGGACAAGTGAAAGCTGCCCTAATAAAAGGAACTATCACTGCACTTGATTTTACAGAAGTAATACTTAAGATGTGCAACACCAAAGGAAAGCGAGAAAGAAAAACAGATTGGGTGACTGGGGTGACTGCAGGAAAATCGCTGTGAGAAAGGTGAAATCTGGGGTTCATTTTTGTTTTCACTTTCTGCTCCAGGTATCCTCATCATGATGTCCATGTGTAACGAAGTGCACGTGTACGAATACATCCCTTCAGTCCGACAGACCGACCTATGTCACTACCATGAACTCTACTACGATGCGGCTTGTACCTTAGGGGCCTACCACCCACTGCTCTACGAGAAGCTTTTGGTGCAGAGGATGAACAAAGGTTTGCAGGATGATCTGTATCGGAAGGGAAAAGTCATTTTGCCAGGGTTCAAAGCTGTCAAGTGCCCCGAACGAAATAATTTCTCACACTTGTAGAAGAGAGTCCTTCAGAAACAATGTGCAATAAGGTACTACTGTCGTACTATAAACAAGAAGAGAATACTTGAAAAATGTATCTTAGACCAATCTAGTCTTGAGTCTATAAATTGTAATTAAGTAGCAGGCATGAGAAATACTTCTTTTCTAAGCCTGAGTATTTATTACTGCTTTGCAAATAGTTAAAGAAAAAAAAAAGGCTTAGCTCATGAAAGGTGCAAAGGACCTACTTAGGCAGAAATATAATGTATTGTGGGTGTGACTGTCAGAATTTGTGGGTGGTCTCTTATGCCACATATGCTAGACTGTAACCTTTTTTTTAAATGAACTTATTTAACTGTTAAACCTGGCATTGTGAAACAGCCTCTATTGTTCATGTACAGAGCGGCCAGTTGGAACAATGCAGCGTTTCTCATGGCTCCATGGGATTTTCACACTCTCCAAGAATGAAGTATTCGCTACTCCGAGCTGTGCAGTCATTGACTAGAGTAGACTTTAATTCCCGTTCATATGCGGGCCCAGTTACAAGCCTTCAGCTGTACAGGGGGCCTTATGGTGGCTGTGAAGTCAGAGCAGATGGGAGGTGGCTGTACACACAGCTAAACTACTGGGTGTACTTTTGATGCCAGACCCCCATGCTCACACTGACTGCGCAGGGCAGAGGGAAAAGAGAAATGTCTCATTTCTTTAGAGAGCAACAAACACATTCGTAACCCATTCAGCAAAAAGCTCCCCCTGGGAGGCCTATCAAGAGGGTGTAAGTGAGATGGAAATGATGCCTTCCCCTGGCCTGCACAGATAAAGAAGATCCAGAGAAAGCCAAGGGAGGCTGCGCAGCACTCACACATCACACTGAAAGCAAGTGTTGAGGGAGCTCGCTCTTCTGCAGCAAAGATAGCATTCGGGATTACAGACATCATTTGTTAGGTATTTCATTGGGATCCAAATCAAACTCACTTGTTCACAAGTTACTGCTGTTAAGAAAGTATAGGGAGTTTTCTGACAAAAGAAGAGGATATCAGCATTTTTTATTTAACGTTTGAAAGACTATACCCCAGAGAAGCTGTAATGCCTGCAAAAAACCTGACTACGGATTGTATATGGAGATCATTTGATATTTTCCTTCATAACACACAATGAGAATATTCTCTAAGGCACTTGTAAAAATCTGCCTGGTTGCTAATGTATTTAAAGCATTATTTTCCATGGCAAGACTTGAGTTTCAGATTTTCCGAGTGGCAGGAGGTTAATGTTTTGTTGTTGTTTTTTTTTTCACACAACTGTACCCTTTCTCTTAGGGTAAGTTCAGCAGGAACATATGTACACAAAAGCACAGCTATATCCTACTCATGTCCATTCAGTAAAAAGGCAGACAGCGCAAAGAGGCACCGAAAAGAACAGCTGAGTGGTTGTGGTGGAAAGTATTTTTTGTGTTTTGTCTTAAGCGACAAAAAGGCAATTGAAGAGTGCACACAATAGTAACAACTATTTCCTCTTCAATAGTACTGTAAGTATAAACACAGAATCTTTTTTCTCTCGCTCTGCTCTTTGGGTCTGATGATTTTCCTTCCTCAGAAGTGAAGAATATGTGTCCTACAGAGGACTTCGCCTTTTTTCCCATGTAGTCTCTTAATTTGGGCTTCATGATCCTCTTAAGATTCCTCTTGTTGACAGAAAGTTTGTCCAGATGATCTAAAAACTGTACTTCTGTGTTGTGTGGATAGTTATGTCCATAAATCATTTTGGTACGTGTCAAAATGAAGAGGTTTTACTCATATTAGCCTTAGATTCTGGATATATTGCATACTGATTTCTTTTTAATGTTATGTATGGTGGCAACTTTTATTCTTAAAGTTAATAACACTGTTATTTAATCTTGTGGAGAACAGATAACCTACACAGAACTAATCTATTTTTCCATATGTTTGGTACCCTGTTTCCAAAACATATGAAGTCTGAACAGTGCAATCAAGCATGTCTCTCTTTCCTGTACGTGTGGTTAGCTACCACATCTTTGTAAAGGAAGGGAGTTGATTAGCTTTCTAGGACTAGTGAATATGCTACTTTTCCATAAGCAGGAAATTCTCAAGTCTGAAAAGAAAAAAAAGCATATCACTTTGACTGGTCTGCAACCACTAACCTTTAACTTTGATTTTCACGAAGAAGAATACTAGCTGCATTACTCAGCTACCCACAGCAGGATTATGTTGTATTATTCCCTCCGTAATTTGTCAGAATAATCAACATAGCTGTTGTACAGAATGAGGCGAATTATGAAGTTTCATGGAACAAGTGCTTAGCATATCTACTTAAGACATCATTTAAATAACAATGCAGTATCAGGTCCGAGACTTCATAAAATGAACTGTGTATTTTTAATTTACTGGACTGTGCGCATTCAAGCCCTCCCAGCAGAAATTTTTTCTTTGCTGCATCCTGATTTATATGGCAGTCAGTGCTCCTTCCACAAGTGCAAATGTGGGTGCTGTAGCACCATCACCTCAGAAGATGCCGCAGAGCTGTGCTGCAAACGCTTGCTTGCTCACAGAGGAGGAAGACCGACTTGTGATGCCCGTCTTCTTGAAAAAATAAGGATCCCCTGGCACGGCTTCCCAACACTGGTTTCCACTGTGACGTTCCATTGGTCTGCCTGCTCAAACACCTTGTGGCCGCTTCAAGAGATCTTACTCCCCTACCTTGTCTTGTCCTCCTTTGGTTTTTGGCACAAGTGCAAGTGTGCCTGATCTGCTAACTGAGGGTTCACCTCCACTTGCTGCAAGAGGGGAAGGGGCAGAAATAAAGGGGGAACACAGAGGACCTGCAGAGGTGCTCCCCTCACCACTGCTGACACTCTGTGGCATTGGCACTGGTGGCTTTTTTAAGAACCCACCAGGTATTTTTGCATTTACGGGCGTTTCCCCATCCCTCGCAAGGGCAGAGAGATCTTTACAAAGAATCACATTCAGTAAGTTTGAAACAATGAGTGTGTAGTAACACTGAACCATGTATCTTTTAATAAAAATAATAATGCGTGAGAGTGCTGGTTTTAGATACATACATTAAATGCAGACAATGTGAAAGGAAATGCATTTTCCCACCCAGATCGTGGGGTTTTTTGGGAAAAAGATACAGGCATGGCTTTGTAGCTCTCCCGTGTGGCTGGGGGGGCCCAACAGTAGAACAATGCATTTTCCCACCCAGATCGTGGGGTTTTTTGGGAAAAAGATACAGGCATGGCTTTGTAGCTCTCCCGTGTGGCTGTCGCACCCTAACAGTAGAACGGCACCGTAGATGAGAGGTTTGCCCAAACCCCGCTCTTGAGGTGCATCATCAGCCAAACAAATGCCTCTGCTAGTGGACCCCTGAGCTCCCTTCACACTTGTGGCAATGATGCAGGTTTTACATTTATGGAGTTTTACTGACAAGTAGGAGTAAGTTGCCTTCAGAAGCTATCGAGCCTCATTTCTGTGCCCTGATGCTGTGGACAACATTTGCACTTAGCTGAAACAAACCAGAAACACAGCAGTAGCTTAAGGAAACGTGCTGAGTTTATGCTGAATTTCATTATGCTCTTTTTTCCACTGTGAATTCTGTAGCTTTTTTGACTTGTGGTGCTCTATCATTTTATGCATTCAGCCTTTGGATGGTTAAATCAAGGTATTCTTCTGTTTATTCAAGAAAAAAAAAAAGGAAGATTTTGCCTCATTTTGAGCCAAAATCTTTTTTGCTAGAAAAAATTGTTCCATTCCTTTACTGTTCTAAAGCTTACCTGAGCATAAACTCACAGCTCCGTCAGTCATTCCTTGGATTAAACGACTACATCTTCTTTTTTTACCGTGCTATGCAGTTTTATGCTGTTGAAACTCTGGTAAAGTCAGTGAAATTACAAGAAATACATACCTTTGGAGAAAGAGGGGGGTGATTTACACGCTCTAATCTACACTCTCTCTCTACAAATTTAGCTAAATCATTGCATGTCTTTGGTCAGGACACTTTCTTTGGTGAAAACATCCAAATTCTGAACTTCTTGCTGTAGATCTCTTGCCAAAGTCAGCAAAACTGAGACAGTTTTTTTCTTAAATGAAGACAAGAGTCTACACTCAATGGTTGCACAGACTGGACGCAGTCATTTTAGAGATGGATTGAACTGAACAGGAGTTCAAAACACACGTGGACCGGTCCAGTCCATAGTGGGGGGTTTCTTTTCGTTTCCTTTTTCTTCAGCAGTTTTTAAGGTTGGAAAATGCCATTTGGACAATGACACAGATGTACCATGAAAGGAAAATTAAATGCATTGACTGCAAAAATAAATGGCTACTATTTTTCCCTTCATGCTCTCCAAAGTTGATGTGCATTGTGTAAATGAAATTGTTTTTTGAAGTAGGTAATTCAGAAGACTCTCATTAGAAAGCATCTGAATCTTTCCCGGGAGCTATCCTCTCACACGCAAGGAGGATACCTGATTTAACTGTTTGAAATTTAAAGTAGCCCATGTCTGGGCATACCTGCATCATTGAATGAATTTTGACACTGCAAATTTCTTCTCTCTGGCTTAGTGATCAGATTCAGAATTTTGTTCTTGAAATAAGAGTTCTGTGTACAAGCCTTACATTTATCCATATCATCTCATCACTCTTATAATATGTAGTCACTGAACTATTCAAATATAGACTGTGTACTTTTTTAATAGCTTTGGGAATTATTTTGTATGATGATTTTTTTAAATGAATGTGTACTCTAATAACAAAGCTTAAGATTTTACAGGAGTCACATTTTTAAGCAGTGTTTGTATACATTTTAACCCTTTTTATATTTTCTATTATGATTTTGTATATTTTTATGTATGCACAGTGTACAGATTTTTTCCTGTAAATAAAACATTTGTTTTCATTTGTTTAGGAGTGCCGGTCTTTTCATATTGTCTTGAGTGAATGACACTGAACTGCAGATGGCACGAAACAGGGAAGGTGCCTGTCGGTTCTGCCCACAATTGCAATGAAATCTCAAATGGAAACGGACGGATAGGCTGACAAGTAGCTTTCACAGCACACTACGGAAAAGAGGCAAATACTGTGAGGCCAGTTTTACTCTAAAATGAACACGTCTACCCGAGCAGGTGCTCTAGGATTCCCCTGGGAGAATATACCATACTGCTCTAGCTTTGGCAGTAGATTTCTTGGGATAGTCAAGCCCTCTAAGGAGGTCACCCTCTGGTGACTTGATGTTGTACTTGAAATGCTGGTAAACTTCAGCTACATGGCTGTGCCACCCATTCAAGGAATCCAGCGTCATGTCTTAAAAAATAAGAACAGACTTTTTTATCAATTAATTGAAAAACAACTTACCAAAGGGAAAACATAACTTGCCATTCAGTCTGTGGTGTAATTTAACCACTACAAGTGTGCTTACATCCATTAAATGTGAGGCATTCTGCTGCTTTTGGTATTCTTTGAACTACGCAGTGGCTGGAGTTGGGCCAATGGAGGTGACAGTCACTGTTTTCATCCCAGGGAGTCACCGTGAGTCCATGCCGACAATAAAGCTAGTTACACATTAGCGGAATGATAAAAGTTGGATTGCTGTCACGTGAACTCCTGGCAGCCAGTAATCATGCAGCTCATCCTGTGTGTTACGCCACCTCCTGGCAGGCAGTGTTGAGGGGATAATT